GGTCAACATCCTCGGCATCTTCTTATTGTGCGATTTGGCCTCGAATGTCCCTGAGTTTTGGTAACACCTCTTTCCTTTTTCTGATTTCGTCCTTGTAATTATTATTAGGTTTAGAGTTTAATTTGCATTCACTTTTAAGTTATTCGTATAAATTTGGGCAGTGATTCTGTTGAGTTACTATTGTTTTCATATTTTGTATGTCACTTCCAATAAACCTTTTAGTTGCTCGTAGTGATTAGTTTAGATGTATCATATGACACTGAGATCAATTATTTTGCTTCTTGACTGATTAGTCATTTAGTTTGGTTACATTGATCTGATTCATATGTGATATTTTTGAGTTCTTTGTGTTAGTTTATTTTTATCAATTTAGTTTTGTTGATTAATTGTTGGTCAGTTCAGAATCAATCATGTTTAGTTATCATGTTTCGTTATGCTTCCGAACTTTAACTGAAGTTTCAAAGTCTTTGGACTCTAACTGGAACCTGAATCCTTCCTTTAGGTTTCTGATTTTTGTTGCCTACTACTTTATTGTAGTTATTGTAGTAGTGTAAGTTCTGTTAGTGGTCAATTTTAGTTCGTTTTCTGCCTAGTTTTCAATTTCGTCTTCACTTAGTCAAAACTGTTTCACTAAGTTGTTTTCTCTGTTAACATGTGTCTTGCTTGGTTTTGTTTTAGTAATTAGGTTTTAAGTTCTCTTGATTGATTAATGGTTCAGTGTTAAGTTTTAGTTATATGTTTGTGGTATATTAACTAAGTTCTAGTTACTTGTCTTTAGTTTTGGTTTGAAGCAAACAACGTCTGGTATTGATTGTTGAAAAGCTGAAGAGTAAATATGTTTGATCATGAGAGTAGGGTACTTGTTTTGCTGCTTTTTATTGTTTAAAGACTGTTGGGAGTATACAGCTCCTAATACTATTCACAGTTGGTAAAAAAATGATCGTTTGGACAGATTTTTGAACCAAAAGTCTGTCCTTTGAATAGTTAGAGCAGATTTTTGGTGAGAAATATGTCCTATGGACAGATTTTCAATCATGAATGCATTGCCTCTTCTCTTATAAAAGACTGAACATTCTTATTTACATAGGAAGACATCTTGAGAATTGAAAAACACATCTGGCTAGACATCTTTTACACACAAAAAGAACACAGCTTTAAGAGTAAAAGTAGGATCTGAACACTGAATAGTAAGCTGAAAGTGTTGATCTTTTTGTGAGTGATTTCTCTGTTTGCAAGACCTTTCAAAAGCCTAAGAGTGTTGAAGTTGATTGTTGGGATCCTTCTTCTTTAAAAGTTACTAAGTTAAGGGTTTTTCCTGGATTGTTTTGGATCAAAAGTTGCTGATTTGCTGCTGTTTATTGCTGTTTTCTATGGTCATTTGCTGCCGAGTTTCATTTTCTCTGTTGCTGCATTCTGAAATTCTGCAAACTAGGTATTTCTCTTAAGCTTTGCAATGTAACCTGTGATAAAAAGCATGAGGATATGGTTGTTTGTCTTGTTAAGTTCTAATATTAAACAAATGCTGTCATTTTAAAGTTCTAAGGGCATTGCTTTATCTCTTTTGGGTTGTAAATATGCTGAGCATGAAAAGTTTTGATAAAGATTTACTACTTCACTCTTATTATTAATGTACTGCTACATAGAGTTATTGCTATTTCTTTAAATTCATTGGATGTTTGAAGCTAAAAAGAGAAAAACAAATATTTAGTCAAATGAAGTAATTTGAAGTTTGGAGAGTTGGCATGATGAATGTGTTAGTTTCGCCTTATTTGACTGAAATTGGTCATTAGAGATGTGTAAGTTTAATTATTTTTTAGTTCTTGTTTAAGTTAGCATTAGATGATGTGGTAATACTTAATAGAGGTAGACTTTTGTAAGCAATAAAAAAGAAGTTGGATTTGAATAGATAAGCTACATAAATTTATTCATAACTAGTCTTGTTGCCAGTATTAGTAAATTGGAACTACAGATTATTTGGCCAAATAAAATCAAGTTCACCAGGCCCATGAAAATAATAGTTCAACTGGCCTGTTCTTTGTAAACATTCTCTACTAGGCCCATTTCGTGTTAAGCATGCTAGCTGGCCCTTTCTTCTTTTTTTTTTTTTTTATAAAAAATAATTATGTGGGCCCAGTAAAATCCGAATTTCTGGTAAAAAATTGCACGGGGCGCTTATTTGGTCGCCCCCATTTAACCTATACCCATTTTTTTAAAATTTTTTAACTTGTACCCACTTTTTAAATAACTTCAACCCCATTTCTCCTCTTCCTTCCCCTCCTTTGTTTTCTTCTTCTTTCTTCTGCTGCTGTTGGTGCAGATTATTTCTTCTTCGTTTTGTCTCAATTAATATTCTTTTACGTAAGCATAGTTATGGATTTAACTTAATTGTTTGTTCAGATTTTTCATGAAGTGGAAGGAGTCATCTATTGAGCTCAAAAAAGGAAAGATATACGTACACAAACACAACTATGACAAGTATGCCAAGTAATTTGTAGCAACTTTTTGCCTAAACAAAGAACCACCATAATTAAGGATAAATGACAGATTAACTACTCTCATCTTGGCTACAAAAAGTACAAAGAGTTATCCATATGAAATCACCAGTGATTATAGCTGTCTTTGCTAAGTACAGGAAAAGCAGTCAAGTGATTAAAAAATTCCGACTCCAGAAGAGGAGAGCCAAGTAAAATATTAGTACAAAAAAAAACTTCAGCTCTAGAGCTGAAGCTTACAAACAAAAAGCCAGTTAAAAATAAAAACTTCAGCTCTGTTACAAAACAAAAATTTCAGCTCTGTTACAAAACAAAAACTTCAGCTCTAGAGCTGAAGCTTGCAAACAAAAACTTCAGCTCTAGAGCTGAAGTTCACCAGTTACAAGCAAAAACTTCAGCTGTAGAGCTGAAGTTCGACAGTTACAAAACAAAAACTTCAGCTCTAGAGCTGAAGCTTACAAACAAAAAGCCAGTTACAAACAAAAACTTCAGCTCTAGAGCTGAAATTTGACAGTTACAAAACAAAAACTTCAGCTCTAGAGCTGAAGCTTACAAACAAAAACTTCAGCTCTAAAGCTGAAGTTCGCCAGTTACAAACAAGCTGAAGTTCGACAGTTACAAAATGAAAACTTCATCTCTAGGGCTGAACTTCAGGCCCGACTACTAGAATGCTGAAGTTTTGCGTGATTGTCTTTGCTACTTCAGCCCCGTATGCTGAAGTTATGCGAAAAAGCGGGTACGCTTGCAATTTTTTTTGCAAAGCGAGCACAAGTTAAAATATGATACAAAAAACGGATATAGATGCAAATGCCCCGAATTTCTACAACCCAATTCAAACAAAGTTGGCTGGTCCATTCCTTTTAATATAGCAAGCCCATACTGTTCAATAAAGATGGCCAATTTTCTTTTAATAACTTCAACAAGCCCAATGCCAATAATTGATAAGCTAGTCCAAGTTTAAATGTCGTATTTGTTTAAACAAACGTAGTAGTATTATAGCCTTTTCTAGTGAATATTTTTTTTTAGTAACTTAATCTTCTTAATAGTTAATTTAAATGCTAGGCAACTAGTAGGCTCGTTTTAACTTTTTTATTCACGAATTCGCTTGCGTAGCGTAATATTAACTTTTAATATTTTAATTCAATAATCTCATACTATTTCTACTAGTTTTAATTAATTTTTAATTTAATTAATTCTTCTACTAAAATTGCGGATTTGCTTGCTTAGCGCGATACTTAATATTTTAGTAATTTCTTTAAGTGTAGTAACTTTTTTTTTCAAAAGTAACAACATGCTAATACTTCTTTGTCCTGACGGCGGATTCGCTTGCGTAGCGCTATTATGACTAAGTCAATAAATTTCGTCTCGATCACGCATTCGCTTGCGTAGTGTGATTATGACATTTTATTATATTCTTTAATTTTTCTAATAATCAAGAAATAAAAGCGTATAAGTAAGACATGGAAATCATATAAATCACAGTTTGTCCAAAATTAATTCAAGACAAGTTTAAGTCAATAAAGCGACCGTGCTAGAACCACAGAACTCGGGGAATGTCTTACACCTTCTCCCCGGTCAACAGAATTCCTTATCCGGACTTTGTTTTCGCAGACCAATAATAAAAGAGTCAAACCTTCCTTTGACTAGGGATTCAAATCAAAGGTGACTTGAAACACCAAAAAATCAATTCCAAGTGGCGACTCTGAATAACAAAAATAATCTCTATTTCAAAATTATCACTTTAATTGGAAAAACTCTTTAACTCATAAATTCATAGCATAACACACATCTTTTTGCGGGGTAGAAAAGGGGTGTGACACATACTAGCAAATTAAAACAATCTCCTCCTTTATCTAAAGTAGCAAGATAATATATTTCTCTTAAATTATTTATTATCGTTTAAACCACATTCTAAAAATTTCTAACTCACGTGTAGCTGTCTTGTCCTTAAACCTTCTCGTTTCTTGCTGGTTCTCATTGTCATTTGTCACTCTCTTCCAGTAGTATTCCCCATGCCAATTTGATCATTGGATTCCTTGTCTTGTCTTCAATTTGTCCCCAATATACTCCCAAAAAATTGCCCATACTGCATCAGCTTCTGTCATATAGTCTAGAAAGCATATTTGTCCCTATCATTTTCATTACAATTTCGGGTGTGTTGTATATCTCTTCGACTAACTTTAAGGATTGTGTCAAGTACTAGTGTTGTTCTTCAATTTCTGATGCACTGCTCCGAATTGTCTCGGTTCCTCATCATAATAAACAACCAAGAAGAATTAACCAAAATAGTCGTTCACCTAATCACTTGATGGATGTATAACATATATATAATCGATTTATAATATGTATATAATCATATATAATTAGTATATAGTAATTAGAAAGAATAAACAGTAAATGTGACTGGGTATTCGTGTCCAAGTAGCCCAATATGCATGGCTACTGCTACAATGCTGGATGGAGAAATTAATATTTCCATATCTTGAGGGGCAAATAAACCAAGCTTCCTCTAACCAACAAATCTGTTTTTATTATTTTAAATAAATATTAAAAAAAGAAATCAAATATAAATTCTGCGTCGTTACCAACACCAACAGATAACAGCCTTTGATACTCGAGTAGCTTAAGGTTTAAAACCCCAAGAGGAGATAGGATCAAAGGTTTAGATTCCAAGTCAATTATTGACTTGAAGTAAGTTATACAGCCAGGGCAAAAATCAATACTAATGCGCCATTCAATACCTAGGCTGAGAAAAAGACAGACATTATTGAATGGAAAAATTAGTCTCTTTTAACTTGATAGTATTTACAACATACATAAGTATGCAACTACATCTATGCACTGACTGCTACACCCAAATAACTGAGACCAAAAGTAAAAAAGGAAAAAGGAAACATGCACCTAAAAGAAAAAAGATAATCATATATATATATATATGTATGGCTGTCCCCCTCAACTTTCAGAAGCTCTGAAGATAGTCAGTATAGATAGGAAGAGATTGATAACGTCCAGATACAAGGCAACTGCAGCCCAGATATACTCGTCGTAAGTATAGCGCTTGATTAGGTTGTCTGTATCATAAACGATGTATCCACAGAATAAAATTGAGGCTAGACACCCATAGATCATCACAGAGATCCTACCCAAAGGAAACAGAAACTGCAACAGGCAAGAAGATAAACCAAGTCAGTTTTCTTCTTTGTACAGACTAATTAGCTCTAAGGTCGATGCAATATGGGTTCAACTAACTTTAATTTTTTCACGTTAAAGTAAATAAATTCATTATATTTTATCTACTATAACAGAAAATATATATACAAAACTTTACCCACTATCACAACGGAATCTAAACTGTATGAACAAGCTTACCTAGCCAGTTGACTTTATTATTATACTGGATAAAATTTTGAGACTTCAATTTAATGCGACAAAAGATAGTTTATTATTGTAGGTAAAGTTCTATAACCATACGTGAAATACCCTTCCATTTAACCCGGCATTTTTTATACAAAGCATAGAGGCAAATCCAGGATTTAAATCATATGGGTTCAACTTTTAAGGTTTTTAGCATTGAACATATTATATTTTTAAAGTTATGGGTTTATATCTACTATTTTTGTAATTTTAATCAATTTTTATATATAAATTTTTACACCGCGACGAAAGTTATGGGTTCATTTGAACCGTTAGTTATTCACTGCATCCGTCTCTGCAAAGCATAGTGTTATGAGTTCAGTGATCAAAATATCGCAGTTGAACTATCACATTTAAATAAGCAGCTAAACTAGGAAGTATAAGTCGTAATTACCACATGCGATGCGATTTTTTTTTTTTTAACAAAAGTCCACCGTTGGTGGATGATGGGGTTTAGGCTGGACTCCTAACCTATATATTATCAAAAAGAATTAGTACACGGAGGAGGATATAGACCATAGCCTCCAGGACAAGATGAAGAGTCACTCTTATGTAAAACTGACTGAAGCGAGAGAATTTTGGGAGATATTCTCCATAACAGAGGAGTTACTAGGGACCTTTACTTAATAAGTGGCAATTACCAAATGTGATTTATAAATCGCATTCTGCAGTTGCGGTTTGTACGACAATAGGCAAAAGTCCACAAACCTGGATGAAGGCAAACAACATTTAAGAAATGGCAAAAGTCCACAAACCTGGATGAAGGCAAACAACATGAGAACAATGAGAGCACCAAATAAGAATGGTCCCAGAAAATTGAAATCATGGCCTCTCTTTGCTGCCCAGAATGTGTACACTGTTAGGCTAAGCACCACTGATGTCGTCAATATGACCGACTCCAATATTACCTTGCCTGCGCCATCCAAATAGAGAGATTTATTAATTATTATCCAGTATGACATACCAGTACCTGAAGTTTCTATTTCTCTTGCTTAAAAGCATTAGAGCATTTTATCCAGAGGGCAAAGATAGCAACACATGACACTTCTAAGAGAAGAATAGAGCAAGTACTGATAACACTATGTTTTGCCTCATATATATCCAGCAGAAAAATGAAAATGCTACACCATCTTAGTAACGATATCTCTATTTACGAATTTTGATTTTAAATAAAATCCGTTGTTGCTTGCTAGTGTTGAAACGTTCTGCACCTTTTAGACGCCTTAACTTTTTTTTTAAACTACTTGTCACCTTTGACAAGTACGAATGTCAGGTAACTCTATACAATCAAAAATTTAAGTGTAGGAAAAATATCAAATATCACCTTTTTTCTAATCTCTATCACGTAATTATCAATAATGTGGACTTATTATTAGGTATTTCGCCCAAGTTCATTGTCACATTCATTGGTTCACATCATTAATATATAATATTTTCCAATGATAAAGTTTATATTAACACAATGCCACAAGAAGAATATTTTAAGGACAAAAGCGTGCATAGTCAAGAGACATGGCATAAAACAAACAATCAATATCATTTTTTAAAATATTGACACTTTCTCTCTAAAAGATTAAGACTAGATATGAATTTTGATTAATGTTCACAAAATATATTGATTGAATTAACACTAAGTAAGCAGAAAATTAGGAACAAATCAAAACAAAGAGAGGCATTGAAATGAAGGTAATTAAACCCCTAAATTAAAGGTGACGAAGCTTACCACTGGTGAATGCACAAGTTAATCCCACAGCAAAGGCTAAAGCAACTGTAAATAACCCAAGTAACAAATAGTTGACCGGATGCTTCTGGTGATAGTAATACAGCGGACACAATGCTGCACACACAAATTAATAGTATTCAAGTCATTTCACGTCCACCTCGACTAATCAAAATTAAATTAATAAAAAATAACTAATACTCCTTCAGTTTCAAATTAGATGACACATTTTGCTTATCGAGTCAAACTGCATGAAATTTGACCAACGTTTTAAAATATATTTTCTTATCGTATTGACGTGAGAAAAATTGTAATTTATAATACTTTTCGTATATCTGATTTTAATTTTAAAATATTAAGTTGAACTAATTTAATTTAACTTTAAAATATAATCAAATTGATCATGGATAAGCGAAATGTAACATACAAATTGAAAGAGAAATTATAAAAAAAGAAGACGTACTAATGAAGGGAGTGATTATAAGAACAATATACAGAGCTAATCCTGCCCCTGTTGACACAAAAAAGTGTGCAATTGGGTGAACGGTGACAACTACAGAGGCAACTGCAATTGTGAGAAGAAGTTGAAGACTCAAAATAGAGTAGACTTTCCGAATAAAACCCCAACGGAGTTCAGGACTCTCTAACATCGTCGGATACAACGGCCTTGCTCCGCCCTCCACGTCATCTTTCCGGTAAGGCGTATTCCACGTCTGCCACATCTTACAAATAATACCCACAGAAAAAATTCACTAATCAAACAAATTCTTGAACAAACAAATTTGTTTGATTTCTATGAAATTAGAAATGCAGGGGAGTTGGTTATATATATGTAAATGTTGGTTCTAAATATAGAAACTTCGTGACTCGTCGAAGGAAAGAGATGACACGTGGAAGAAAAAGAAAAACTGGAAAGTGGGTTATCGTTTTTTTTTTTTATTAACCTAACATTCTTCTGGACTAGTCTAGATGGATTCTGAAGTTTGTACTCATCATCTCTGGACTTTGGTTCATCGCTTTCGTTTGAAGGGAAAGACAGCTGAAATTTGCTGCTTTAATTTTGGCTTTGCTTTCGACCTAGGTGTAACAACAACGGAATTACGTAAAGTTAACGAAATTATGTAAATAATTAATAGTAGCATGTTTTACTTTTATATAGTTACAGTGATAAGTAAACATGCTACTGCAAGTTAAAATATACTATAATTTAAATGTGTAATTTTTTTACAGTATATGATCAAAATCCAAAATCAACCCGCTAGTAAAAATGCAGTTATTGCACATATTTTTCGTGGAAAATAATGAAAACATACGTCTTAAATGGTCCTATGTAACGATCTGGACGGTCGTTTCATGAGTTACCGTTCTATTTCTCTCATTTCTGCTTCTTTATGTGTTGTTCAGCTGTATTTCATCATATCGTGTTGGTTGTTCTGTGTTTGGAGTGGCCTTGAAGTGAAATGAGACATTTAGTCTCTTTTGAGTAAGCTTATGTTGAAAAAGTCAACCGGATGTTGACTTATGAGTAGAAGGTCTCGGATGTGAATTCTGATGGTGCGGACAGCTCTGTTAGGTGATTTTGAACTTAGGAGCGTGTTCATAATGTAATTTGGAGGTCTACGGTAGATTTAGACTAATTTTGGCGTTTTCCGTTCGGCAGTGGAAATCTTGATATCGGAGTCGGATTGGGATTCCGGACATTGGAGTAGGTCCGTTGTGTCATTCGTGACGTGTGTGCAAAATTTCAGGTAATTCGGATGAGGTTTGATAGGTTTTTGCATCGTTTGCGGAATTCGGAAGTTTGGAAATCCTTAGGATTGAATCCGATGGTGATTTGATGTTTTGATGTTGTTTTGAGTGTTCCGAAGGTTGGAACAAGTTTGAATGATATTATGGGATGTGTTGGCATGTTTAATTGAGGTCCCGAGGGCCTCGGTATGTTTCGGGTGGTTAACGGACCAACTCTTGGCTTTAGAAGTTGGCAGATTTCTGGTATTTTATTGCAGAGAATTCCTTTTTCGCGTTCGCGAGAAGGCTATCGCGTTCGCGAAGGGTTATTGAGAGAAGAGGGAAATTGTTCTTCGCGTTCACGAAAGGGAGGCCGCGAATGCGAAGGTTTGATCTGAGTATGCATCGCGTTGGCGAGGAGGGCGTCAAGTTCGCGATGGTTGAGCTGGTTAAGGTACACGTTCGTGAGTGGGCCATCGCGTTCGCATAGAAGGATTTCCAGGTCAGAGGCAGTTGTGCTTCACGAACGCGAGGGAGTTGCCGCGTTCGCGAAGAAGAAAACATCTGGGCAGAATGTTTAAGTTCAAACACGAGGGTTTTGGTCCATAATTTCAAAATTCATTAGAGAGATCGGGAGTGTCATGACCCATTTTAGCATCACGACCGGCGCTTAGGAGTAAGTGCCCCCAAGTAAGCCTCATCGATATTTTACAAAGAATCGGACAGGGTTTCCCCTATTTTAGGACTATCCGAATGTTTTCCTGTCTCATAAATAAATAACACCCAACCAATTTTCACCTAAATCAATTCACAATCTTCATCAACTAACCAAAAACGAGTTTTCACCATCATTACCAACCTTATCAACATAATAATACTAAACCCATAAAAAAATATGGAAAGAAGTGAAATACTAGTAACTAATCCAATATAACATATGAATACTCATGACGCTAATAAAAATGACTATGTAACAACTCCAAGAGTTCATAAGGAAAGACGATAACAAATAAATAAACTCTTCGCCCACGCGAACAAGTGCGGAGCTCACCAGGAACTATCAACTCGTATACTCTAATTAACGAAATCCTAGCTCGCGTAAACTGGTGTCTCTGTAAAAAAAAATAGCGGGGAGTGAGTCGCTAGCTCAGTGAGTAATAACACTTAACCACAACCGTTTTAAATCGGGGACAAGTCAGAAAACATGCATGTACAATAATAATCAGAAACTATCATAAAAATAAAAGCCTCTCAAAACGGTAAATATAATCAGTTTATTCATGTGTTTCCTGTAGTACAAATCAATTTAACAAATCGGTAATAAACTCGGTAAGCACTATGTCATATCTTTATGTTTGGGAGGTTTCCAAGAAAGGGTCATGTAATCTTTGTCACTCTGTGGACACCTTCGTAAAAGGAGTCAAATATAACTGTAGGTCCCTACTAGAGGGAAAACTGTAACTGTATGCTAGTTCTACCTTCCCACTAACGAGGGCTATAACTGTAATTGGTAATCTGTAGATACAAGGTGCACCAAATCTAACGAACCCGCCGTTAGCTATGGGATCCTTCAAAGTCTCCTTCCATTTATACTCTTTCTTGTAAACAGTAAATACTTGTACAAAAGCATTTTCAAAATAATAAAGGGCATATCGTTTCTTATCAAATATTGTAATTTTATTTCGGTAACGATAATCATATCTCAAGTAACAGTATAACATGTCTAGTAACAGTGAAAATAATTCAAATAACTATAACATCTCAATTAATGGTAAAACATATCTAGTAACGATAAAAACGTTTAGATTAACTGATAAACATCTCAAATAAATTGTTCGGTACCATATCAAGTAAAGGACTTGTCCCACATGCAATTTCAAAGCGTCGGTAACACATTTATTTTCAAAATCGTATATAAACCATGCAGGTTATGAAAACACAAATTGTGGTAAGATTACTACTCACTTCTAGAAGACAACTAGCCAAAGCTCGACTTCTTGTCGATCCAAATGCTCAACTTGTGTGTAAATCTATAAATCGATATAAGTCTAGTGTTGCCACCCATCAATTCCACAATTCATTCATCTAAATAAACATCTTTTTGCGAATGCGCTTTTCTATTCTCAAACTTTAGTTCAAACTTCTTTTCTAAGTATATTGGAAACATGGAGGAAATAGTAATATTGAGTTTATATCCCCATATCTTCTTAAAAGAATTAAAGGAGTACAACAGAAAAATTAACTTAGCATCTTATCTGCTCACCCAAACTTTTGAAAATATATAGCTTATCCAATTTGACTAATTCTTTACTTAGCCTATCTTGAATGAAATCTGATTCTAGTTCATGGGTGTTCTAATATTCAAGAAAATTGATACTTTCATATTCAAATCATTGTTATTACCCTTTAACTCAACCCATGACAATATGTATAAAATCATGTCAGTTGAATAAAAAAAAAATAAGAATACTTTGTTACCTATTTTCCAAAGCTTGGTTCCAACCTCTTTCTTCTTCTCCTCCCTTTTTTTCTTTCTCTGCGTCTATTTTCTTTTCCTGTTCTATAGCTTTTATTTGGCCGCAACATAAGTATTGCACTCCCTTCCCTTAAAATCCCTTTTAACTCTTGTTTTTTCTCTCCTAATGACCTAACACGTTGTTAATGGGTTAAAGCCCAATTCTTTGTTTTTGTTTTATTAGTTTTTTTAAAATTTACTTAACTACCTTTTTATTTAATGAGAGATATTACATTCTCTCCATCTTATAAAATTTGGTCCTCGAATTTAACTTAACTATGTACCTGTAGACTAAATAAATGAGGATACTTGACTCACATAGCATCTTCCACTTCCCATCTAGTTTCTTCAACTGTATGATTTCTCCATAAGACTTTCACGAACATAATTTCTTTTGACCGTAGCTTTCTTACTTGTCTATCAATAAGAGTTATCTGCTCCTTCTCGTAAGACAACTTCTCATCAAGCTATATAGTTGGTGCTTCAAGCACTTGAGATGAGTCGGATATATATTTTCTTAGCATGGAGACATGAAACACTGGATGAATAAAAGATAACTCAGGAGGAAGTGTTAAACGATATATCACAGTTCCCACTCAATCAAGTATCTTGTCCGGTCCTATAAACTTCGGGCTCAACTTACCTCTTTTCCTGAATCACATCATGCCCTTCATAGGAGATACCCGTGTGAACACTCTGTCTCCAATTATGAACACTAAGTCTCTTCTCCTCTTATCCGCATAAGATTTTTTTGTCTGCTTTGAACTGTGAGCAATCTATGTTTGATCAACTGGACCTTGTCAATAGTTTCTAGTATTATTTCGGGTCTCAATAAGTTAGTCTCGCTAGTTTTAAACCCACTGATAGGAGAACGACGTCTCCTACCGTATAATGCTTTGTAAGTGCCATCTGAATATTGGACTGAAAGTTATTGTTGTAAGCAAATTTAGCTAAAGGTAGATAAGCGTCCCAACTACCTCCAAACTCAAGAATGTAAGCTCTCAACATATCCTCCAAGATCTGTATGGCACATTCGGACTTTGCGTTTGAGTGCGCCAAAATCTAGTACTAAGATCTACTCGGGTACCCAACATTTCTTGAAAAGGTTTTCAAATCGTGAAGTGAATGTGATCCTCTATTAGAGATGATGGACCATAGAGCTCTATTGAGTCAGATAATTTTCTGTTCATGTATATCTGTGCATATTTTACCTCACTAAGAGGTTTTGACTAGCAAGAAATGTGTCTTAGTCAATTTACAACTTTCCTACATATAATAATACCTTTAATGCTTTGAGTAATTTAGTCATATAATGTATTGTAATTCTATTGTTTTCCACTTCAGAATCTTTAGTTGTTGTAGTTGTCCTGTGAGTCGCAAATGCTTGCCTTAACACGCTGACATGTCAAATAGTTAAAAACAAAGTTAGCGATTTTTTTCCTTCTTTCTTTTCCGACCAATCATTTATTTTTTTTATAGTCATGGTGCATCTTATAGACATGAAATATACAGTATATCTAGAGTTGTGAGCTCAATCACGAATAGCCTGTCTCAGCCCATATATGTTTGCTACAC